AAAATATCTAGCAAAGATCACGTTGCCAGCACAGCACTAAAAAGATGTACCATGTTCTTACTCAAATTCCTCGAGTTCCCTTTCTGCTTGTGCTATTAGGGGCAACCAATGTGCTAGAAATCCTTCGGACAATGTAGGCACCGTTACAGATAAATCAGTAGAAGATCCCGTCTGTGGTGGGGCATTGTCATTAATACTATTGTCTGTAGTTGCAGTTTCTAAATTATTGGTTGTAGCTTCGAGCGCTTCGGCGCTGGTTGTTTCGAGTGCAATTTGCTCCTGAAGCATTGTGAAAATAGATATTCAGCGCTTTGTGATACGGGAATAAATAATGCATACCGATTCAATCTATGTATACCAAAAAAGTGTAAACCGATCGCCAAAAATAAAATGAACGTTGAACGAGAAACTAAAGCAAAAGAAATTCTATCGAAGGATGTAAAACCCGTTGGTCGTTTCTGGGTAACTAAGTACAAGAACGAGGCGGCAAAAAATTGGTAAATAACTTAAAAAATCTTTATTCCTCTTTGAATTTTATGAATTTGTTATCTCTAATCTTAACATTCTTCTTGTCCCTCAAGGGATTTATTCTATAAGCGAAACAAGACAAACTTTTTTAAGGACAGGCATTGGATAAGTCGCGAATTTGAGGAATTGAGTTTGCAAGAAAGTGATGAGGATGTTGCAAAACAACAAAAAGTATACAGTCTATTTTTATGAATGCTTGGATAATCACGAATGCGAACTTATTCTATCGATGATATAGGTAGTTTTGGAATTAGGCTGTGGCGTGGGGAATTTTATATTTCCGATTCTTGATGCAAATCCTTTTGTTTTCATATACGCGTGTGATTTTTCGAAACGGGCTATTCAATTTATTCAGGTTAATTAAAGTTCAAATTAGAAATAAAATAGTTAGTAATGACAAAATCAGTTAAGAGATCTACTATATTTTTACTTTCCACGACTAGAATCACGAAAAGTATAAGGAGACGCGGTGTCATGCTTTCGTTGCTGACATTACAAAAGATCCGTTAAATTTACAAATATATTCAAACAGTGTGGATATAGTCACGGCGATATTTGTCGCATCTGCTATTCCACCGGAGCAACATTCGCAGATGCTTGAGAACATCAAAGATGTAAGTGTAAAAAAAACTTCTCAATGCTTTTTTTTAATTGAATTATATTTTGATAATTCAAAATTCACCTTAAATAAAAAAAAGGTGATGAAGCCGGGAGGTATAGTTTGTTTTCGTGATTATGCTATTTACGACGAGACACAACTACGATTCTCCGCGGGCGGAAATCACAAACTAGAGGAAAATCTATATGTACGACAAGACGGTACAATGTCATATTTTTTTTCGATAGAATATTTAACGCAACTGTTTGAAAAGCACGGATTCAAAAAAATATACGCGGAATACGTCGAACGCGAAACTACAAATAGAGCACAAGAGTTGACGGTAGATCGTGTCTTTTTGCAGGCTAAATTTGTAAAGTTGTAAAATATATTGTTTTCGTCATCATTTCTTCGTCACCGAAAGAACTATTTTGCACGAAAGTAACGGGAAACTAATCGATTTTAGATAGTATTTAATTTAATTTATTATTTTTTTTTGGAGACATCATGTGTTACATGACTATCTGTCACATCTTTTGTTTTTCTAAAAGTCACCAACTCTAATTCTTTCTCGATATCCGAGAATATATTTATATTCGACTCGAGAGAGTCAATAAGAATATCCAATCGATTATGATCAAAATTTTCTTCCTGGAAAATATTTATAATGTTAAAACAATGTGAAAAAGAACGATAATAGATAGCAATGTATTAATACTTTTCGAATTTTATCCAGATCCTCTCCAAAAGCAGTGGTGACTTGATTCATATAAAAATCTCGAAAGTTTTTTGCAGTCTCTGGACGTTCTAAAAGTGGAATAGGTTGCGAAATCTCTTCATCTTTTAACTAATCCAAAATGGTAGATGAATCATGTGATATCATTCTATTTATAAACACACATATGAAACAAAAGTATACCATTATTTTTTCTTGTGCAGTGTTTTTCAGGCTTTTATCTTCCTCCGTATCATCGAAAAATAGTTTTCCTTGCTCACTTTCATCTTCAGATTCATCCACATTTTCATCATCACTATTTTTAATATCTGAATTATTACCACTTTCGCTCTCTTCTGATATTATTTCACCCATTATTTCATCATCATCATCATCATTATCATTCTCATCATCCTCATCATCCTCATCATCATCCTCATCCTCATCATCATCATCATCATCATCATTATTATTTTCGTCTTCATTATCCTCCTTACTTTCTATAGAACTTGAAGATACTGACAACTCATCATCTTCCATTCTATCAATTTTATCCTCATTTTCCTGAGATTTCTAAACACGTTGGATGACAAGCTTATTATTGTATAAAAAGTAATAAAATAAACGAATTGATACAAAGCAAAAAATTTCAAGCTGACCGACTGCTTCACTTTATTCATAAGATCAATGCTTATTGAACTTCTCGAGAGAATAAAGTTGCACATTGATAAAATTTGTGCATTTTTTCTGCATCTCGTAAATTGGTGATTGTTACACGATCACCAATTTTGCAATCTCGAAGACGTCATCAAAAAAAAGCGAGTCAAAATGCTTGACGCCAAAAACAACTTATTGGTTTCCGCGGTTAAAGGGCAAAGCGTTTCTACCACTAATTCTTCGCTTTACCCTTTGGCTTGTCCATCAAACATATTTATTGTTTCTTAATTAACATTTCAATTTTCTTTATTAATTTTTTTTTTTTTAATAATTCACAACGCTACAATGACTACACAACAACCTTCAATTCCCTCAAATACAAATCCCTCAAGAGTTATACCATTGACGTGCTCAGGTCACACCCGACCTGTGGTTCACTTACAATTCTCGCCTATCACAGATGGCACATACTATCTAATTAGCGCGTGTAAAGGTACTTTGTCTTTTTAAACATAAACTCATCATCTTTGACGGAATTTACAAGTCTACTTTTGATGTAGACGGTAATCCGATGTTACGAGATGGTCCAACCGGTGATTGGATAGGTACTTTCCAAGGACACAAGGGTGCCGTCTGGAGTGCAAAACTAAGCAAAGATGCATCAAAAGCTGTGACAGCTTCAGCAGATTTTACCGCGTGAGTTTCTCTGAATTCATTCTTTCTGTGAAAGAAAAAAATTTGCTGACAACTTTCTCGGGTCATTCTTACTTTTTTAGCAAAGTGTGGGATACTTATACTGGCGATGTGCTTCATTCTTTTGTGCATGGACATATTGTACGTTCTGCCGATATGTCTGATGATGGAACGCGTATCGTTTCTGGAGGTGCAGAAAAAAAGTTAAGGATATACGATCTGAATAAGCCTGAGGAGGCTGCGTTAGAAGCAGAGGGACATGAATCAACAATTAAAAGTGTTATCTGGGATGGCGAGAGGAATGTAGTGCTCAGTGCCGGTGATGATAAAGAAATTCGGTGGGTGATACTAAGACGAGAACATGTTACAGATTTTATACTAAAGAGAGTAAGAATTTTTCCTTTTGTTTCTCTAGTGTTTGGGATCTTCGTAATCTTAGTCAAGTGAATACATTCAAAACTGAGCATGCCATCACTAGTATGGAGTTATCGGCTGATAGCAAATATATTACATGCACAGCTGGCAAAACAGTATATTTTCTGGATGCATCAAGGTGAGTACATTTACGCATACGTGAGTGTATAAACATCTCTGGTTAACAATTGTTTCTTTTTAGTTATCAACCCTCGAAAACTATAGCGACGGCTTACGATGTCTCATCAGTATCATTGCATCCTGACCATAAGCGTTTCGTTGCAGGCGGAAGCAATGATTTATGGGTTCGGATTTACGATTTTGAAAGTGGAAAAGAACTTGGTTAGCGAAAAATTTCTTTTGGCCCATTGCAATCATTTGGTTGTACGTGTGTATGGTGTCTCTGTTTCTCTAAAATGATGGCACCCCCTTATATTAAGAGGTATACAAAGGACATCACGGACCGATTCATACAGTTAGCTACAGCCCCGACGGTGAAATTTACGCGACTGGTTCAGGTTGGTGTTATTATGCATGAATATTGGGTCTCTTGGATATTTTTATTAAATTGATTTATTATATCGTGACGATGTGTAGAGGATGGTACCATACGATTGTGGCAGGTACGTTATATATGGTGTGGCACCTCTATATTAGAACTTACAAAGATCTTGGAATTGCAAAAAAAATTTTAACTGATGATTTTGACAGTTCTCATCAAGAACTTTCGAATGATTGCAATTCAAAAGTAGTATAAACCTTTGCAATAAAAAAAATATTAATAATTAAGTTTCTATTATAGAGGTTCCGCGCTGTATTAATCCCCGAATTATTATTAAATGGCTAATCAAATTTACTAATATTGTGTAGACCACACCCGGAAAAAGCTACGGGCTTTGGCAGAATAAGGCATCGAAAGATGAAAAAGAAAATGATGTTAATGGAATACCAGCCGAGTAATTCATAATGATCAATTCAATCACAAAAAAAAAAGGTCCTATCTATCAATGCCAAGGTGTACTATTGCATAATATATGATGATAATGTGTAATTTAATGTGTATGTAATTGCATTTTTCATGATTCTTTAGCTACGAATCCTTTGTTATAAGTTAGATCTGGACCATCAGGCAGATCTTCATCATCTTCATAATATAATATTTGTCATCATCGCGGGTGATGGTGTGGTCACCTTTACGTGAATTACTCTATTTTTGAGCAAGTGAAAAGAAGGGTGTGATTCTTTTGTTTGATAATGATTATATATGATAACTACGGTTAAAAGGAGGAATTCACCCGTCCCGATAATGTAGGTTCTTTTCTTTGGTTAGTATATTTTTTGAAGTTAGATGTTAATCTTTTAAAGCTTATAGGAACGAGAAAATTTATCCGAAAATTATAAACGCGCGTTGCGTGATTTTTGAATCATAATTGTATTCTATTTAGAAATATGCGAGATCATTAAATAATGTAATCTTTAATCAATTTGTATACATCTTATCGTAAATAAAACGGATAAATGATTTCTATTTTAATATATATATGCTTTCTATGCTCTACTGCGTATTGTGTTATTAACTGAGGTTAGGTTAATGATAATGATAATGCATAAATAAGTTTCATGCCGATTTTTTTGCTCTGCGAAACAAATAGTTCCTTCAGTTTTTTCATAACAGTTTGTGGAACAGTTGACATATATTCAAAAAACTGCGCTTTCTAATATTTAACGCAGGAAAACTATAACCTGGCTTTTGCTGTTAAGCCCACACCTGGCAGTGTCGACGAAGAACACCTGGCAGCTCTTGATTGTTTCCCATTGAACAAAACGTTCATTATTCCCCTTGGTTATTATTAGATCTTCCCTCACGTGTTTTTTCTAACCAACCAATAATTATACGACATCGTAAAGACTGCAAATTGTTGAAAAATCATATATTTAGCCAACTTCCAACGCACTTTTTCACCATACATTTTTCGCTTTTTGTGTAGGTTATTTTTTAACTATACACCGTTCTGACCTTTATCACCTTATTTTATCATTCCTAGACTATATCTTCATATTTTTTTATATAGAACTTCTCTATTTGTTTTTCTAAAAATAAATCAAACGTAAAAATGGGTCTTTCAATTTCGAAACTTCTTCAAGGCTTGTTTGGCAAACGGGAGATGCGCATCCTGATGGTGGGTCTAGATGCAGCTGGTAAAACCACCATCTTGTATAAACTCAAGCTTGGTGAAATTGTCACTACCATCCCAACCATTGGTGAGTTTTTTTATTAGGCGAGCCTTATTTTTTTACGCCACATCGTGAGCGAGAGGTATAGGCCAAAAAAAACAATCGGCCGCACGAACGGGGCGTAGAAATTTTATGCTTTGTTTTACTTTTTGTTGTTGTGGTCATGTCGATACTAAAATTTATACGGTTAATTGGCGATAGGATTTAATGTCGAAACGGTAGAATACAAGAACATTTCCTTTACTGTTTGGGATGTAGGTGGACAGGATAAGATTAGACCATTATGGCGTCACTGTAAGTTAAAATATATAGGAAATTAATTTTGGTCCGATGGTTCTCTAAAAAAAAATTCGATATCATCTTTATCGTTAGCATTGTCTTAATCATCTCAAATTATTAATGATAAAATATTAAATGATTGTCATCATAGACTTCCAAAATACCCAAGGAATTATTTTTGTTGTGGACTCTAACGATCGTGAGCGTATTTCGGAGGCGCGGGAAGAACTCCAGCGTATGCTTAATGAAGACGAACTGCGTGACGCGCTTCTTTTAGTATTTGCAAACAAACAAGATTTGCCAAATGCTATGAATGCTGCGGAAATTACTGATAAACTTGGACTTCACTCTCTTCGACAACGCCATTGGTATATTCAAGCCACTTGTGCTACAAGTGGTGATGGTCTGTATGAGGGTTTGGAATGGTTGAGCACCAATCTAAAGCGTAAAGTCTGAGATGACGATGATGACAATGAATCATGAAAGCTTTTGGATTGTTTCTTTCTCTTACAACGACAACAATAACAACGACAACAAAAAATATTACTACTACGTTCTTTTCACATGTAAACTAATACTATTATTATTATTATTACTATTATATTATTATTTACTGCCTCGGATAAAAAAATCCTGGAAATTAATTTTTTTCTCACGGACTGATCCTTTTCTAATGATAAAGATGAAATTTTTATCAAACACAACATCTCTTCACTTCCCCATATTAAAAATATTAATAATTAATGTCATCACCAAACACTACTATCACCAACATTATATTTCGTTCGTTGTATACAAAAAGAAAAAAAGAATTTGTTTTCCTCTCACATAATTTAAATAATTTATTACAAATGAATTTATATAAAATTCATAGACAAAATAACGACAACGATAATAGGAAATGATCGTGAATGAAATACGAGAATCTACGCAAATTCATTATGACACATGGTTTTGTTAATTATAAATAAAAAAGGATATAATGGGGTACTATCGAGATAGCGTTAATTTTTTAAATTCCTATATTTATATTGTGTAACACCTAATGGATTAATAAATAGTATGAAATTTTTTCAGAACTAGTGTTCTAAGGGAAACATGACAAATTCCGATGTTGCTGGAAGATTTTCGATATCTAATCTTCCAAAATCGTTCATAAAATTTCTTGAGGATAATGAAATTGATCCGTCTGTATACTGTGTAAATAACCTTCCAAGATATATTCGGTTGACAGGTCCACTGCAGCAGCAGCTAACCTTAAAAGAGTTGCACGAACAATTTAATGGCCCGGTTTTGCCGGTGGATGGAATCGATAATTTTTTTAGAATTGATGCGAAAGAGAAAATTGTGGATTGTCAAACGTAAGATTAATAATCTGACTTGCAATCGAATAAATAGGAGGAATCAATTCCAATTCTCATGATTAATCTTTATTTATGGTTATTACGGTTATGATTATAGTTATAAAGATGGAAAGGTATAATAACAATCAAGAATAAAATGGATCCTATTTTTTCCGAATTTGAATTATAAACATTTATCATTAATAGATTTTTGGCATGGATTTAAGTTCCGGAATGGCCGTTTACTCTCTAGACATTAAGCCAGACGACCATATATTAGATTTATGTTGCGCACCAGGCGCCAAACTATGTATGATTGCAGATTTGCTTGCTAATCAAGGAGGAATCGGGACGGTAACAGGCGTAGATATTTCTAATCATCGCGCCTCTATCTGTAAAAATTTGTTAAAGAAGTATAAAGTGAATCGAGCGAGGATTTTTGTCGCAGATGGTACACAATTTTCTGTAATGGCACCTTCATATTTAGAGCCTTTGAAACGTCTGGTAGAAGCAAACAACCGGAAAAACGATGCTAATAAAAAAGAGGAACAAAGACAGCAAACTAAGAAGTATAATAATGACGAAAGATTAGAGACTGAATTGATGGACAGCAGAAAAAGTGATGTTAAACGTAGTCCCATAATTAGGCCTTTTTGGGCGCCGCAAATACTACGAAGTGATCCGCAGATTATCAATGAAAAATATTTGTATGATAAGGTAAAAATCAAATTTGAAATCTTCAGTTTATTAATGACTCAATAATTTTTGGCCGTTCATTAAGGTTATTGTTGATGCGGAATGTACTCATGATGGATCGATTGCCCATATACTTAAAGTATGAATGAATCTAGTTAAGATCCTCTTTTTTTTTTGTTTCGTCATACTTTCATTTTCTTATTTGATATATTCTCTATATTCATGAATTTCCCTCCGGCTCAAATCAATAAGTATGAAAAGTGGGGATGGGATGCTTTCGAAAAAAATTTTATGAATCCTGACAGAATCAATAATCTCTGGGATCTACAAGTGAGAAATAGCGTTCTATCATTGCATGAATATTTTTCCCGTTATATTGATTTTCTTTTCGTCCAAAAAATGTTATAATAGCGCAAATTAATCATAAACGCATGGAATCTACTAAAAACTGGCGGAATCCTCGTGTATAGTACGTGTAGTTTATCGCGGAAACAAAACGAGGATGTGATTGGATGGTTTCTAAGTGAACATATGAATGATGCTATATTAGAACCTATACCTAGTATAGGAACATTGAAAACGGCACCATTAAGAAATAATAATAATATTGATATTTCAAATGCTGTTCGTTTCGATCCTTTAATTTCAAATACTTCGGGATTTTTTGTTGCAAGAATTAGAAAACAATAATTTGCCATTTAACCAATCATGGAAAAGTAGAATCAAAAATCCGATTTCGATTTTGGCTAGTTACTGTAGATCAACACCCGTATCCGCGCCAAGACGCAGCAAATTAATTTATTAATACGCTTTTTTTAACCTTAAAATACGTCTATAATATCGTTTCTATTTTACTTTTTGCAAACTCACAAACATGGATCAAACAAATTCCTCAATCGGTTCCTCCTCTGAATCGACAGAAATTCATAAAAAAACTCTTTTCTCTATGTCATTTCAGAGTGCAGGAGTCAAGAGACTAGAGAAAAGTGGTACATTTGTTTCCGAGAAAATAAAAAAACGCCGTGTAAACGTTGATATTAGGAACGATGAGTTAGAACATCAAGAACAAATAGTAAACTATGTAACCAGCTTTGAGAGTAGTAAATCACAGAGGTAAATATTGTTAGTTTATTTACCCTTTTTTTTTTCTATCGTCTCCATCAAATCTTTGTTAAAGTCCAAACGACATGTGTGTGCTGCAGCTGTGAAGTATGCTCCTACCACTGCCCGCGGCATTATTAGCGTTCGTTCGTTAACCGGTACTGTGTTTCCGACCCTCTTCTCTCCACATATATATTCCAGCCAGGAAACAAGCACATTAGTTATTCCACCACTGTCTATTCCGGACTGGCACGAGCGAATTCGGATCCTTGCCGCACAACGACAAAATAAGTCAAATCAAGAAAAACAACCTGAAGTAAATCAACCTGAATCCACTCAATCTACCGTTTCTTATGGTTTATCCTTAATTAACGGGAAAAAGGATATACGTGTTGAAGATGAAGAAGATGTTCTTGATTTAGAAGAGAAAGCTAACCATGTTGAAATCAAACTATCACCACCCCCACCACAAGATGAAGATCAAAAATTAAGACAGTTAGCATTAAATGAATTAATGAAAGGTAAATTGTCACTTTTTTTTAAAGCATTAATAAAACACAGAAAATTTAATTCATTAATATTTATTGTTTTTCTTGATAGCTCCAGATTTTGAAGACTTGACAGAAGATAGTCAGAATATTTTAGTGCTACCACAGAAGGAAAACAATTATACACAGGAAACAAAAGTCAACGCGGATGATGCTGAATCGTTTCGACGTTTAATTAAAGATCATCCAGATGAAGTAAGCCCCCGTTGCAATGTTATTGTCCATAATGTCTTGATAATAATACATTAACTTATTAATCCTATCAAATTTGCAGGATAAAATTGATTATGGACGAGTTCCTATTCAGGAATTTGGTGCTGCGTTACTAAGAGGCATGGGTTGGAAACCAGGAATGAATATAGGAAAAAATCAATCCAACAAGTATGTTTTATTTTTTGATAATAACTATTAATGATGTTCTTGTTTATAATTGAATAAAAATTTATTAACATTGGAATTTTAAAGGGCTGTAAAATTATACGAGCCACAGCATCGACCTGCATTATTAGGTCTTGGTGCATCAGTTCTTCCTACATCTAAAACTCAGGAACGAAGGTTAGAAATTCAAGTCTTAAAAGTCTCTATCCTTATGTGTTTAGATAATGCTTTTTTCGTTTCGACAAGCTTCTAAACAATTTTTCTTTCATAAAGGACAAAGCACACGAAAGTTGAAGTGAAAAGCGCTGTGGATCCAAAATTAGAAGTCAAACAAACAAACCCACGAAGTTCCAGTGACAATTATTCCTCCGACCAAAAATCCAGAAGTTCAACAAGCGAGAAATCAGAATCAAGTCGATCTAGACGACATAGAAATAGACGTAGAAGTAGCAGCCGTGATCGAACAAGTTCTGGCAGCCATCGCAAATCAGAATCAAGTCGATCTAGGCGACATAGAAGTAACAGCCGTAATCGAACAAGTTCTGGCAGCCATCGCAGTAGTAATAACAAGTTGGTTTAGAGTATATTTCTCTTAAGTATATGTTCATTTTATCTTATAATCAATAAAATATATATTTCGTATCTTTATGTAATGTCACGTGCACAAGGTTTTGAATGTATATGTTGTAATAATGGTGGAGTCTGCCAATCGCGCGAGCATGGCGAGCGAAGCGAGTCATGAACACACGGCTGTGTTCGTTTATTTTGGTACATCCAATCGGGTGGTGAAATGTTCTAATAGCGGAGCCGAGGTGTGACATTCATGACGTATTTAATTCGGTTAAACTATTTGCCTTAATTCAAACATCCTACATATAAAGCCAAGATCTTCGAATAGAATGGCCAGCCGATCTCTTCGAATGTCTTTAGCTGAAAAGCAAGGGATTATGTTCGTTTTGCAACCACAGTAATTTACTATCTCGTTCATCCCATTGCCATGTGTAAAATTCTTATCGGAAAAGGGAAGATATTATGTATCAAGATCATTTCGGTCTCACTGTTTATTAAAAAAACGATTATAACAGCATAGACATTGTCGTGTATATGTGTAGATTTCATTTCGCAGAAGTCTTACTGATCTTTCTAACACCTTACCTTTTAATCGCTAAAAGATACCCATCAATTAACAAACCGCTAATATTTCTCTTCATGCTTTTGATTCCAATTTCATAGTAGAGAGGTAGTTGTATACTGACTTTCTGACAAGTCATAGAATAACGATAAAGAAGCTTCTACTGGATGTACTGGTGGTTTGGAAAGCTTCTTATTTTTGTTGATAATTTCTGTTATTCCATCTATTATATTCTTTTCTTGGGGCGTATAATTTTCAGATGTGCTTATCTCAGTCACAGCCTTAATTTCTGTCATGTACTGAGCGAAGATATCCAGATCTAACTTTACTGAAAAGTCATAGCCTTTTTCAGTAATTTCTATTTTCGAAAATTTCGGTATTATCGAAAGCCTCACAAGAGAGTGGATAATACAATAAAATGAAAATTTCAGTATTACTATAAAAAGTGCACCCGAAAGATCCATCTCTCATGAATTCAGACTCATCCAAGCACTTTTGGCAGTTAGTGACGGGAATATACAAAATGCATTTCTCCAGACTCATCGAGAGAAGTTTCGGACTCATCCTAGCATTGTGACACAATCTCGAAAAGTCCTCACATGAGGGGGTTAATACAGTAAAGTGAAATCTCTGAACGTTCTCTTGTTTCTTTCCTGAGAATATAATGTCATTTCAAGATCAATGTGTAACGGAAACGGAAAATTTTGCCTATGAAACTACTGTGCGAAATTTTATTTTAATAATTCTCTTCAAGTGATCATTAAAATTTATCACTTGAATTACTAAAAAAGTTTAATACTATCTATCAGAATTGACATAGTTATAAAAAGTTTACATTATTTTCAATTGGAAAATTTACACGTAAATCTTTTTCGTTATATAAATATATATCGTAATGGTTTAACAGCAGTAAAAATTATCGTTTTCATAGACGTGTTCCCAAGATTGCTTATTTTTATATAAATTTCTATAAAGATTAAAAATTACTAAACACAGAATTGTAGATTATATTCATTATATTCGTTTTATATTCAATAATATACAAATTTAGTAATGTATATGTATAAAACTGTGAGACTAGATGACTTATCGTTAAATAAACTACAATAAAAAATCAATTCGGTTGATTTTATAACAAAAGTTTACGCCATATGCTGAAATTTTACCAGGAACATTATATAAAGCTTTATTTTATTCTGCTATTTATTCATGCTCTAGCATTTAATGTTTATGGAAGGTAAAAAAAATGAAAGGAAACTTGCCTTTTTTGCTTTCTGATACAATTTTTCAAAAATATTCAGACTGCTCTTAAATGTAGTTATAATATTACTTGAAATCAAAAATTATTATCGTTGATCTGAAAAAAATTTCACCAAAGAGGAATTCGTGCATCGTGACTTTCAGCCTGGAAATATATTATTAATGCGTAAATGCTCTCAAATTGTTTTTGGACTTAGCATTCAAGCCGATATAGAAAATCTAGCCAAGGAATTTGCGGAATAGATCCTTATGAGTCCAGAGGTGCTAATGAAAAGCAATACGCAGATATTTATAGCTTTTGTGATCGAAGTCATGATGCGGTCTTGTATTAGACATTTGCAATGGAATACGATACCGATACCGGATGGTGCAAATTTATTATTGAAAAATATTGGGATCCTATTCCAGAAGACCAACTTCTGAGGAACTTTTGACTTTATCAGATCTATCTACAAAGACGACTATATCAACTATAGTTGGTAGAAATCGAATACTATGCATTTTCAGTTCTACAGATCTCTAGGATATCCTAAAATAAATAAGTATGTAAAAATAGAACAGCAGAAATAGAAAGAGCTTAACAAAGTTAAGAAGAAATGGAAAAAATTGATTCCTTCAAATAAGAACAAAAGAGGACAAATACATATAAATGCATTTACACAATCGAATGTTTTATCACGAAATTTTTTTCAATTCCAACTTCTACTGATACAGTAATTTCTATTACTAAATATCAATCATAATAGAAATTTCATATTTATTAAAATTATATCGAATATTAAAAAATTTTTACAATATAATTGGCCTCCTGCTAAAAAAGACGTGAAAAAATACACGATATTTCTATGAACCTCTATTTCGAAAGGATCATGGAAAGCACTCGCGATTAAGCAAAAGTTTACTAGGTCAACGAGTTTTTGCCTCTTAGTAAAAAAAAAATGGTATTAGAAACATTATTTATTATTTTATAAAGTAAGAATTGGGAAAAGAAAATAGTTCTTATAAGAATATGATGCTCTAATTAGAAGCGTTATAGAGAATTTTTTGTGTAATTGGCTATAAAAATTGCCCCTGTATTTACACCATTACATTCCGTGCGGACTGTAGCTGAGCTTAAAACAAAAGTGATTTCAATTTCTTTGTATTTTACGCGTATATACAGTATTTATTATTTTGGTGTTAATCTGATTAGAATAAAGAATTACGAGAACGATAAAAAATATCGATGAAAATGATAGTGTCCGCGTCACCGGATCTTGATAAAGTCATCTAAGAGTTTAATTAACTAGTATGATCACTCTTGTAAGTATATAAACGTATCAGTATACCCATTGATCTTTGTGAAAAGTTTTTTTCTTCTTATCTTCTTCCTGCTTCTACTTGCCTTCTTACTGCTCCGCTGTCTTGTCGTCTTCTGCTTCCCGTCTTAGTTCCTGCTCTGTCCTGTCTTTAGCAAAATGACAGTCTAAAAAATAAAGACACTTTTAAAGTTATACAAACAAAAAGTGATATCTCAGTGCAAAATGACCTTTATATCTTCAATGTATTCTTAGCGTTAGAAAAGAATTAATTTATGAGAAGAATGAAAAAAGGGCCATAAATAGGGCATTCATGAGTAAGTAAAATATCAACGATGGTTTATTTTTCTGAAAGGGTCATATAATTTCAATGACGCTGAAAGTGATGAAATATTGTCATTTATGTGCCGGCTACACATGAAGGGTAATTTTGTTCGATGGCGCGTGCCAAATCTTTTGTAAACTATGAAAGGACGTTATATTCTCAGGGAGAGAAGCAAAAGATTTCACTTTATTGTATAGACCGTTTCATTTGGTTAATTATCCCCTCGTGTCTGCTTTGGTTAATTATCCCCTAAGTAAGCTTTGGTTAATTATCCCCCCCCCCCCCTTTCATGTAAAGCATTTGGTTAATTATCCTCACTCATGTAGTATCCCCACTCATGTGAGACTTTGGGCTAATATAATAATACTAATACTAATACTGAAATTTCACTTTATTAACTCCCTTCATATGAGGCCTGTTAATACCGAAATTTCTTTTGAGAGTTTTGAAATTATTTTGAAATTTTACAGTGATGTAAATAATATATATTATGATTTTGTATCTATTTTTATATTTTTATACTTTTAGAATTCAACGTTTATCCATACCTCTATACGCATATCCAATCCCTAAATCCCAATAATGGGAATTATTGGATACATGTTAGAGAATGCGCCAAAGAAAAGAACTTAGAAGACGTTGATTATAAATCTAGCGATGAGCTAGAATCGTAAGTCAAAGAGCATGACGAAAAATGTTCATCAGCTATCACATCAAGCACGGTTATTGCGATATATCAAAAATCGCAAGAAAGATATATTTATAAAAATATAAATTTATTAATAATGATTTTAATTTTTAAATTTGTTAATTTTATCTAAAAATATTTTATATATATCACGAAGTACTTATAAAACTAGTTCATAAAAAGCTTTAGATACTGTAAAATTATTTTAACTAAGAATTTTAATCATATGATTCAAGTAAAACATAATTTTTATATACCTGTGTCGTTATTGTTTATTTTTAATGCACTGAATTTTAAAATTGTAAATCAACTATATATAATATAGAACATGTGATTTTGTGAAATGATATTGCATAAATGATATTGCATGAACGATAATAATAATGCCAATAATAATGATGGTGATTAAATCCCTCCAGCTACCGTCTATGATCGTCAATATATCCATTCATATTATTGTGATGAGAATTTTTAAGATCGTACCCATTCGCGTAACCGTTTTTGCCATTAGTTTCATTTCCGTCTTCAACATTATTGGTGTAACCATTTGTATATTCATTTTCATATCCGTTCGTATACTCATTTCTATAGCCATCATTAGCAACAGAACCTATAACTAGTCGATCATCGAGTTCATTATTGTGATTATAATTATAATTTTGATCTTGCTGCTGCATGAATCCATTATTATGTGTTGTTAAGTCATGAATATGATAATGAGGATGCTGGTGATAATTATGATAGTGACGAAAAGCTAGATGTCCATTATAATTGTTATTCAAATAGTTCCAATCACGTCCACCACTAAACGATCTCAAGCTTCCCAATATATAGTAATCTAAAAACGCCAACACCGAAGTAATCAAAACTCCGAGACGAAAACCCGTGTTCACCCAATTCCCATTCTTTAGCAAGTGAAAATTTTCGTATGGCCCAGCACTTTCAAATCTCAAAAGACCCAATATCCGTACGATAGCCGGTAACGAAGAGCTGATTACCAATAACAATGCAACATTCCCAATAGTTTTTTGCATCGTCATTCGTCCCCATTGTGGTTTCATTTGAGCAAACAATGGCATGGAATAGACGCCGATAATTGTGGCAAATGTGAAATAGAAAATCAGGGCAATCTCGGTGAGTGTACCAATTGCGCCAAACATTGAAAGGAAAGACGACGTCTTTTTTCCAAACACCGATAGAAGATTTGGTTGCTGATTATTGGCTTTTTCATCAAATACCAAGATTCCCTTCATAAAATTAAAGGCGACGTAGCTTATAAGAAGAAAGAGGATAATATGGCTAAGAACAAAAAGCAGGAAAAATGATATATTGCGATAAAGCGGTGAGTGTGATAGATCAAGTTGTGTTTGCTTTCGTTCCAGTTCGAGTTTTTTCAATTTTGCTTGAATCTCGTCTCGGATTTTTAATAGAGACTCTGTTGGTGAGGTTTTTTTATTTCGTCTGATTCCATTTACATATAGTTTTTTAGATGATAATGGAAGTGAAGATGTCACTGACGGCATAAACGTGTAACTTAAATCAATATTGTTGGAATGTAACTCTCTCTCCAAAGACTCCAATTTGTGCTCCCAAGCTCTTGTCTCCATTTTATTTTCTACAAGTTTATCTTTTAATGATTTTCGATAATTTGGTCGTAATGGTAATGAATAAATCCATGAAAAAATCTTCACATATCCTTTTGGTGTGGCTGTCAAACAAATAGCTCCACCCATAAGACACGTTAGAAGATTAAGCACCACCAAACTCGGCAATTCATTCATTTTTAGAATGGCTTTCGAGACATATATAAAACCATAAATTAATAGTCCAACCAATAGCATAAGCGTCAAGGATTCTCTCGCTTTGGCGAAAAAATTTCTTAATTGATCCGTTTCATTATAGAAGTACGCAAACGGAAGTAAACCAAACAATGAGATGTTACATCCGATAAATGTGTAATTCCAAAGAGTCACCAAAAGATTGGTATCTAACCAACCCAAATAATAATAATAATGCTGCTTATTATTATCATCCCCTTTTTCTGATGATTGCAATTCAATCAATGCTGTAGCTGCCATTGTACCTGGTAACAAGAAAAATCCTGCCAAGGCCATCGCTAAGCCAGCAGCACACAAAAATCCCATTATTAACTCGTCTATTCCAAACACATCCTCTTCCTCGTCTTCCACCTCCTGTTGAGCTTGATTTTGTCGCTGTTTCCGGCGGAATCTTTGTATTACATTATACGAAACTGAGTAGAGTGGCAGGAACAGTAAGAGCATAATAATAATCTCGCGAACTGCATTGTAAAAACGTTCTTGTTCTTCTGAAAGATCTGTTGAAGTCATCAGAAGTGGTGTCGACACTACGGCTGCAGCACTGCGTGGTGAGTCCGAAAGTTGCAAAACTGGTCTATGCGTTGTTGCATGCGAAACAAAAATGTTATATATCTATCATATATATATAAATACATATATTTTATCACTAATATAAAAATTTATTTTAGAATAAATATTTGCTAAATAGAAACCTTCAAAGGTGAACTTCGAGAAAAAACTGTTAAAGTTGTTTAACACAACCAAAGATGCTGAAAAAAAGACGCGTGAAAAAAAAACTGAAACTACTACTATTAATTTACTCTCTCCACACTTTATGATTTTAGGTTTGACAAAAACGTGTACCACTATAATTTTTCGAAATTCTTTTTTTATGTATACTCGCTGACAACGATTCAATGATCAATATTAATGGTTCGCTGACAGCTGACATGAAGAAATAAAAACGTTATTATATGACCAAAGTTTGAGATAAAGATGATGTTGATTATTTAGATTTAATTTTACGACGTGCAAACCTGATTTTTTTCGCCGTTCTTGACTGAATTAGAAATGACGTTTCACATATATAATCACATGTCTTCTATTTTGCACAATTCACAATCTCGGTTAGATTCATTTAAAAATACCTTTTTTGAAGAATGACATTTGCCCTTTAAGATGTTAGGATTATTGTGAGTACGTCAGTTTACCGTTTTTTCACAGTTCTCATGTGGGAACAATTTCAAAAAATAATTGTGACTTTGTAATTGGTCAATTAAAATAAATATCTCGAGAAATAAGAAACACGGGAATTTTCCATTGTTCCGGGAAAATATGTACATAAATATATTTGTTAATTGAAAGCCTTAAAGGCAACCGTGTGACAATCTAAATTTTTTAGATTCACAAACACTACCACGCCCGTTTCTGCAAATGACGGAATCAATATAATTCTTGTATATTGTCCATCAGGACCTAGATGCAGTAGTAAAAAAAAAATTATTACCTTGCAAAAGATAACAATCAATTGCATATACATTACCATCAACAGTGCTAGTGGCGAATTCTTTTTGATTCCCGAAATAATAAATATGAGGCGTTTGAGTTAGGATAAATGGATCATGACTTATGAATGGATAACACCCTTAAGTAAAGAAAAAATTTCAAGCTTTGTTAATATTTTCTACAAATACAAAAAAAATTTTTTTTGTATTGAACTTACATAGTGTATCGGGTGCTGTTGGTGCTATGTGCCGCCAATACAAGGTTTTTTCCGCAAATTCAAGCCGATTATCACCATGAAGATTTTTATAAATATCGTCAATAGTTTGGCCAGAATTACCCAAGAACCTGTTATTATTCCCAAGATAAGAAAGAATAATAAAACTTTTAAAGATTCAATAAGTAAAAAAAAAATAAACTCACATAACATCGTCTATCTGACACCAATAAGGATTCGTGACACTAGAAAAAGAGGAATACCGTGAAGCTTTAGGAAAAAGATTAAAATGAATAGGCTGCTGTGGTAATGTTGCATTTGCGGGATCATGAGAGCCAGGCATTACATCAACTGACACCGTTGAGCAAAGCGTTTCTAGGATATTATCAAATTCAGCGACAGTTCCCATGTCATAATCGGTCCCTTCGTGTCCATGTTTCTTCTGGAAACAGTAATTTTTAAATTTTTTTTTAAAGAAAAGAAAACATATCGTCATCGAATTACTTACATATTTTGAATCATCCTCGGTCAATTTGGTTTCTACCACATTATTCCCGGCTAAAATGACATGAACAATTTTCGAGCTTGTAATTTGTTCCTTTTAAATAAAAAAGGACAATTAAATAAATAATAACGAATCATCATTAATTAGATCAGTGGATGGATCGATTTAGTCTTTACCTGTGTACTTCCCACCATGCCCGTTATATAATCTATAAATAACTCTCTCTCCATCGAATTTTGACCATCATCACTTCCAATATTTAGACCTGAGACAAGTGCAACATATTTGTCGGTATCTTGCTCATCGTTATCATCTTGTATGTTTTTAAATTTTATCAATAATAATAATAATTCCCAATAAATGGCTAAATGAAAGCAGATTTTATAAGACACCTGTTTCCATTTGATTGGATTTTTTTTGAGGCGGAATGCCAGCATAACAAATATCCATAACTTCGAATTCACCAGCTTTGTTCTCAAAACCTAACACAGCCAACACTATCCCTAAAGGGAAAAACAAATAGATCAGAAAAGCTAATTGCATATTATTTTTCATCCGATAAGCTTACCAGTTACTAAATTCTCTGTTTTGAGAATATCGCCTATTAACTTTATCCGTCCGGATTCATCTTCTAACATATATTCATCGTTTTCGCTACAATATTTTTCACGTGGTGGAAGTTCTTCTGCCCAGTGCTTCATTCATGATGAATTATTAATTTTACCCTTGCTATGTTTTGGCATAGAAAAAACAATCACACGATAAATCACTTACTTCCTTTGTGACCTCATCGAGTATATTCGGCTTATAAGGCATCGAAACATATAAAGTCCCAAGTATGTAGCAAACAACCCCCGGTTTCGTTTCCAGCACTTTTTTTGTATGTCTAGTTTTAATCTGCACATTTTCCACACCTTGAAATTTATTTAGATTTAATCATAGCTGCAAAAAAAGTCTAATAATTCCATATCTAAAAAGTCTGAATAATAATAACCTTGTTGATCCATCTCTGTTGTATCCCATTTTTTTTGTGCTGCCTCCAGCACTATAGGTCCCAATATAGTTAGCCTGAGAAAGTATAAATTTGCATATTGTTGACGGTAAGTTTTCTCTTTGAGAAGCAATTCATTGCGCTGCATCGGCATATCATAGTATGATGCATTGACGCGTTCTAATGTTCTATCATTATCAATTATTAATAATGACGAAAAATTTGAATTAGAAAGTTGAACTGCAGAATTCTACGAAAACAATTTTACATTTCCATGAATTCTTCAGAGATTTCGCTCATATTATTGTTGTTAGCAGGTGGCATATCGACTTTTGTTTGATGCAAAGCGCGTCTATTTTTTTAATTTTAATCTCAATTAGGTCATATGACTTTGGTGCACATTTAACTTGGGGGGGGAAAGAAAAAAAAAATATACGAAAGTTGTATTTTTTGTTTTTTTTGGTGAGGTTAGGCTTGTCTGAGCATTTCTTTGATGAGAAAAAGACAGAGGACTAAATAAATATTAAAGTGAGTGTTTGTCATTATTACTTACACTATGAGCTATAACCGAAAAGACAAAATTTGCAGTTTTACGACTGAAATGATAAAAATTTGAATTCGGGATTTCTTCTAAAAATCCTAGCTTCGTTTTGAGTCACGCGAAAACGAAAGTTTACGCTGTTGATTCCGAAGCAGGAATGGGGAAATATGTCCGTGAAGTTAACTTGATCTTATTTGATCAGTCAAAAATATATATGTCAATATTTTTTTTTACTATTATAATATTATTTACTAATGACATGAATTTATTTTCTGAAAATGAGACGAATAGAATATTTTGCATAAAGTTTGAATATCATTGTATTGATGTCAAAATGAAACTTCAGGCAAGTATTATTAAGTTGCTTCTTTCGAGAGAATTTCGAGCCAACAATTAACTTTAAGTTATTTTCAGACGGTAACCTATTTTTTCTGAGAGTTATTCTAATTACAAAAAATTTTTCTAAATGGATATGTTAAACTACAGATTATAAGCTTTATTTTAATATAAAAAATTATTTTCTTAATGAAATTATAAACTTTAATATAAAGAAAAAATTTTAATTTTATTATTAATAAAACTGATCATTTATTCAATAATTTATGAAATTAGCAGTCTATTAATAAAAAATTATTAAGAAATAATCAAAATAAGATTTTTTCTATAAGAATGAATTAAAAATTTTTGCAATAGCTTTGCAATTCTTAAAAAAATAAAAATATTTGTTTTATTTTTTCCTATTTTGATTATTTGAAAATCTCTTATTTTATTCTAAATATACGATAGTTTTGAAACTTATAATAGTCCAGATCTATTAGTAAACCATTCAAATTCACTATATCGATATCCCTAGTTTAATTAGCATTCGCTACACATGGCGAGTTCACCACACCATATTAAATGAGCGGTAACCATCTATAACTTAAAAATTTGATTGATTTTCATTCACATGATTAAAAAATAAACGCGAATTATCAATCCCAGTTACTTGACTCCACACGCCGCTGAATTTTGACAATATGTACAAAAACGACAAGAGCATCCTTATCAACGATCTTCTCTTCAAAATTCTAGAACTAGTTGAGCCTAAAACCTTGCTTGACTGTCTTCTTGTCAACCGCAACATGTACCAACTGGCAATACAAATTTTGTGGCGTGCGCCTCGTTTCAGAGTATTTCAGACAGTAAAACAGTTTTGCAAAGCTTTGGAATTTAGGCCGCATAACGCCAAATTCGTACGCGAACTTAACTTCAATATCGAAAGTATCTTCAACCCAATTAATAATACGCTGTTTATTAGTATTGTGGAAAACTGCCATGGACTCGTCAAACTTGATGTAAGCTTTGCTTCTTTGATTACAGATGAGGCTATAATTGCTATATCGCGACAATGTCCAGAATTAAGGACAATTGAATTAAGTGAGTGTGATAAGTTGACTGATATTTCGATCAAAGCTCTAGCGAATGGATGTAATCGGTTGCTTGAACTTAATTTGGAAATGTGCAGTAGTTTGACACCACGTTCAATCGATTACTTGGCGCAAAGACAGCAACACATAGAGGTGCTGAATTTGAGCTTATGTGGATGGGTTAACGACGATGTCGCTTATTCAATGAGTGAATTCTATTCTCTTCGTGTTCTGAAGCTTTCTCATTGTAGAAATGTCACCTCTAAATTCTTCACGATCTTGACACCGTATACACCTCACCTCAAAGAATTACATATCACTGGATCGTCTGAAATGAAGGATGAAGGGGTTATTAATATCACAAAGCATTGTCCTGAATTAGAGGTGCTTGTCTTGAGTGGTTGTAAGATCAGTGATTTGTCAATGTACTGTATTGCGGAGAACTTGAAAAATTTAAAAAAGTTGGATGTTTCAGGTTGCCCGAATATCACCTACAAGGGATTGGAGCTGGCGTTGTGTCTGAACTTGACATCTTTAAGGGCAAACAATTTTGATATTAACGTCGATGCCTTGAATATATTGAGAAACCAGTTTCCGAGATTTTGGGGGGATGCTTATCATAATACTATTGCCTACTAGAACAATCACAATGACAATAACGGAAAAAAAATACTTTACTATTACAAAAGTTTATCCATAACATGAAGTTTGAACATTTTTAATTGGTAATAGTAGTAGTTGTAATAAAATCAAAAAATTCTAGTTTCTCATCTTTTTCTTATTCTTTAACTATCTAAACCAAACAATGAGAAAGCTAGCATGAGATTGTTCAATAAAGCATGATTGTTTCTTTTTGGTATTAAATAGTTATTAGTTGATATATAGATCAATCAAGTATATTGATAAAATATAACAAATTCAAGAAATTTGGAAAATATTATAATAATAAAAACATATTTAATCATATTTAATTTTTAAGAACTTAATATTAAATCTAATTTGATAATATCTTGAATGAATATAATGATCAAGCTGAGATACTTGAATAGCTGATTTATAATAAAAAGTTAAAAATAAAAATTAGAATAGAAAATTTAGAAAAGATAAAATAATAAGTTATTAAAAAGAAATTATATAATTGAAAAAAAGATATAATTATATTTTTATGATCCAGTACAAAAAGATTAGTACATTAGATAAATATTATTACTATAGTAATATAAATTTCTTTAATTTCATAATTTTTTGAACTTTGAAAATTTGATCAATCAATTGATTTTTTAGAAAACATGTGATTTTGAATAATATAATTGGTGTATCAGTTATGAATTTAGTCATGATTCAACAATATTTTTATAATATTTCTACAATATTTTAGTAATGATTCAAGATTATAAATGAATAATTAACTTAAAAATCAATAATCATTTACAAACAGTTCAATAATAGTTCAAAAATACTTTAGAAAATAGTTTAGCAATGAATTTAATTTATTTT